ATTTATCCCAAAATTATTATTCGATTTGACTTTTTATGAGTGGAGTTACTCATTTACCCTTTAGCACTAACTAAAACCTCTTTCTCCATTACTCCCTTTGCACACACCTTAGAAGAAACAAACACACACAGCAGACCATTACTCCCTTCGCACCTACCTTAGAAGAAACAAACAACCGCAGCAGACACTGGCTATTCTCCTATGGCTCCAAGCAACGTTGCGGATGAGTAGGCCCACTGGTTGTCGGAAAGAAATAGCTCCAAGCGGCGGTGTGGATGAGGTGGCCGACAACCTGCGGGAAAGAAATTTGGAGAAGAAAATCGGAGTCGAAACTGCCACGAAATATATCAAATCATACGGATTGGAGGAGCATTAGATTAAAATTCGGATTAAGAAGTTTTCCTGAATTCAAATCAATTCATCCGAAAATTCGGTTCGATTGGCACAAGTGGTGGCTCATAGTTGAAAAACTCTGATGGATCCGAAACCTTCCTGTTTGTCTTCATAGATATAAATTGAAACTTAGAATAAGAAACTTCTCCAAATTTGAAGTTGTTCGTTTGAATTGATTCGATTATAATCGGGTTCCTAACTGAAGAAAAACTGAAAACATTATTCTTGTGTTCTGAAATTGATTTTTGAATTTGGGAGTTAAAAGTGAAAAAGAAGTGCAGAAGTTTTTCCCAAAAGGCCGATTAAACCAATTAGGCATGTAGGGATATATTCGGAATCTTATGGCAAAATTTTGTTGAGTTTGACTAAAAATAAAATCTTGCATCTTATCAAAACTGGATAATAATTATGGGACGGAGGGAGTATAATATTATTGTTGTAGCCATCAAAATACAAATCCAAGTCAGTGCTTGATAGAGATACTAATAAAAATGATCACTCGCTGGTGAATTATCGTTGCTTATCATTTCTTTTCTTCACGGCCTCGCTTTTGGATCTTAGTAAAGGTCATGGGCATCCATTGAGATTAGTGTGCCATATTTTCTTTAAAATTTTGCCTCCAGTCCCACAAATAAAGTCGGCTACTCGATTAATTGCCTTGGAACTCATATTAACATATCCATATGATTTCATACAAAATTAAATTAGGAAAGAAAGAACTGCATAAATTGCTTATTGTTGGGATTGTGTTAAATAAATAGAGTGAATTTCAGAACGGGTCATTGAACTATTAGGTAATTCTAATACAGGTAATCAATCAAATTTATTTGTATAACAGGTCACCCTACTAAGAAAAAAATTCATCAGAGATTATTCTGTTACTTTTGGCCGTTAAATAGTGACAGAAATCCATTTTTCACATGCTTTTGGGTTTAGGGGTATTTTTGTCATTTTATTATTTTTTAATTTTTAATCTTTAAAAAAATAATATTTTTTTTCGCAATTCTTCTTCTTATATTTCCTAACTTGTATATACGAGTAATATAATTTTAAAATTTTAAAAATTAATTTAACTTTTGTATTTTATCTTCTAGATAAATTTTTAAAAAAATTTAAGAAACGAAGAAGAAAAATTCGAGTTAAAGTAAACATGAAAATTAATAATTTACCATTTTAAATTAAAAAAAAAACTAAAAGAACTAGCTAACCCAAGTTGTATTTTCTAGGTTATTTAATTATTTCAACTCGAATGAAATATTTAATTATTAATTTTCATGTTAACTTTAATTTAAATTTTATTTTTTTTTTCTTATTCTTTTTTTTAATAATCTAGAAGTTAAGATACAAATGACAAATTAATTTTGAAAATTTAATAATCATATTAGTACTAACATATATAAGTTAGGAAGTAAAAGAAGAAAAATTGTAAAAAAAAATAATTAAAATATTACTATTTTTTGAAAAAAATATATAAATTGATGAAATTGCCCATGGACCCAAAAGTAGGTGAAAAATAGCTTTTTGTCATGATTTAACACCCAAAATAACATAGGAGAAACAACTTATATTAGCTGAAAGCTATTTTGACCGTTAAACCGTGGCGGAAGTTGTATTCAATATATCTTTCAAATTGAATTTAACGTAAAAGTTAATAATTAAATAATTCAATCGACTTGAAAAAAAAATTAAATAACCTAGAAGAAATAATTTGTCTTAGATAATTCTATTAGTTTTTCTTTTAGTTTAAAATAGTAAATTATTTATTTTCATGTTTACTTTAACTTGAATTTTTCTTATTCATTTCTTAATTTTTTTAAAAAATTTTATAATCTAGAAGTTAAAATTCAAAATTTAAATTAATTTTTGAAATTTAGAAATTATACCACTAGTATATATAAGTTAGGAAGTATAAGAAGAACAATTGAAAAAAAAAATTAAAAAAATAAAAAATTCAAAATTCAAAAATAATAAAATGATAAAAAGGCCCCTGAACCCAAAAGAATGTAAAAAATAAATTTCCGTCACTATTTAACAGCCAAAATTAACAGAATAATCTCGGATGAATCTTTTGCTTAATAGGGTGACCTGTTATACAAATAAATTTGATTCATAACCCATATTAGAATTACCTAATAGTTCAATGACTCGTTTTGAGGTTCACTCAAATAAATATTTCTTTCTCTCTAAGTTTGTCTTAGTGTCTATTGTATAGATTAATAATCACATCCATAAAAATAATCATTACTATATTTTTAGTTCGAAATCTCTAAAACCGGATAAAGCTAAGGCCATACAAAATTTTAATTAATTAGTTTTCTAAAAATATTCATTTAATTTAATGTGACAATGATTAACTTGAGGTAAAACCAATGATTGATTTAGCGGATCACCATAATTACTCATTAAATTTTTAAAAACATATAAAAATGGGTGAACTTAAGAAGAACAAAATTTTATGCAAAACCAGTAGTACAAAAAGCAGTGCATATTTGTTGGATGGAGAATTCACTGGAATAGCATATTTATCAGATAAAGAATAAATTTATTTTTCCTATCTATAATTTTTATTTAAATTTATCTGCCCATCTAAGGGACGGATTTAACATATAGTTTTGCCTAATAAGAGAGCCGCCTCTGAGCTCCAAAACCAATTGACAAAGTACGGCGGCAGAGCTGTAAAGGATAGGATCATGGATTTTGGTTGCTTCTATTTTTTCCATTTTATCTAAAACCTGCCATCAAAGTGACGTCATTTAACGACATCGTTTTGGGGAAGATAGTAATGCAAAAAAAGAAAAGAATATATATATAGTGTAGTATTAAGAAAAATATTTTTATGGTGTACTATTTTTCTTGTGTAGAGAATAATAACATTTAATTCAAACTACTCTACATAAAAAAATATTTATTTTTGACCCTTAAAATAACTTATGAAAATATTTCTAAAATTTTAACTCAGGAAATTATCAATTGCATTAGAATAGGAATCAATTTCTAAGAAATAGGGAAGACTTCTCTTCTCTCTTCTCTTAGCCGCCACCCCTCTCCCCTCAACCCTAAAAAATTCAATCAATCCTCCATCTTCCATTAATGAAATTTTTATTAATGAGAAATGTGAGAAACAAGTGTTTTTATTTTCTTGTTAAAAATAAGTGGATTGTATCCATAATTATTTTCGTTCTGTTGTTTGTTTTCAGTTAAGTAGATCACAATTCCGATAACCGATTAATCTTGGGATTGCAAATTTACGGTGCTTTGTTGTGGTTCACATTCGAGAAAAATGACCTATTGATCTATTTGTTAGATTGATAATTAGAATTTTATTCCAGAATTTTAGAAATGTATTCGAGACTAAATTTCTAATTTGGACGACATATATTTACATACTGATTTATGGGTAAATTTGTATAGGTTTATTCATAACAAGTAAATTCATATGATTTATCAATCAAATGTAAGATTGTACTAATCATTGTATCGTGCTACTCTTGTTCAATTCATTCTAGACGATTTTTCAGATATAAAATGAAATTTTTATTTCTCAAAAAAAAAAAAAGAATTGGAATCAAAATCATGTGTAACTTGTTTAGTAAATAATATATATATTCCTAATGGAAATTGAACCCTAGTTTATTACCAGAAAATACACGACTAAGTTGTTTTCAATTCCCAAAAGTTATTCTGTAATTATTAAGATTGTACAAAATGATTAAGTATATACAGTTTCATTTTTTGTAAAGAACGATTAGTTACAAATACTGATAAGTGATGATCTCTAAGAACTAGCCATATCTCTACGAAAGATATATTATCCTGAATCATTTATCGATACAAACTAACCGTAATTATCTGCTAATCATAATAATAATAGAATCAATTGTATGTCCATGTTTTACAAAAGGGTTGCTTTCTTATTTCTTTTTTTTTCTTTTTGTTTTTTCTTTTTTCAATTTCACGAGTAACCAAATCAACACACTCTCAAACAAATTGTGGAAGTTGTATTTACTTTTTTTTTTAGACCACAAACTTAAACAATTTGCCTACCTTTTCATATCCTGACCATTTATCAAGTTCCAAACACAAATTACAAGTTAAAATTTATTTATCAGCACCATAAAAAAAATAATCTAATTTGTTGGATACAGCACAGTGAAACAGCATACTTGGTAAAGAAAACAAAAGATAAATTAAGTTGATGAATCAGTTTTTCGCGAGATGATCAATATCTCCATGATTATCAATATCCTTGCTTGGTGATGATCAATTAAGTCCTCATTGGTTTTTCAATTTTCTTTGTCAAATATACCATTTCCTAATAAGTTAGCCTTTACTACCAAAGATTTTATAAGATCCTGTTCACTTTCATCTCATTCACTTTCACTCATATAATAATTCTTATAGATAGAGAGTATCTCATGATCGCTTTCCCTTGGTTTAATTTTTATTGTATGCATCATCTTTAACCATGTCCGCAGATTGGACTAATCTTCCTTTTAGCCTTCTCAACTTGATCTTGAGCAAGTTATTCTTCCTTTCTGATTTCATCCGATTCGGGGCTGTTTCTAATTCTGGAGATTTTGGATCAAAAACCAAAACAAATCGCAACGATGCATCAACAGCCACCAATGCTTTTGATCCCGTTTGAACCTGATTCAATCTATCTATACAGCATTGGAGAAGATAGACTTTACAATTACAAAGTCCAATTTCCTCTCAAGTATGTAACCAATAATACTTATCGTGCTTTCTCTCATGGCTGGCTTCTCAAGTATAGAAAAAATGTCAAGCTTGTGAACCCTTTTACCGGAAAAATCATCAAGATTCACTGTTTCGGTAAAATGCCAAGAGGGCGTTTCGGTAAGGTTATTTTGTCTCGTAACCCTACATTATGCTCTGGTGATGATGACGGTTTTTTCTTGGGAGGGATCTGGAACAGGCATACGGGTCAGTCGAGTAGCTACAATTTAATCTTCAAGAAAAGACTTTGGGGACGGTGGAAAATTTGATTGGGTTGGGCTGACGGCGGAGGTTGTGGAGTTTGAGAGGAAGTTGGGAAATAAAATTTATGAAAATTAAAATTAAATGAAAAGAATAAAATACCTTTGATTCGGACATGTCAACACCCGGTCAGCATCGAGTTGGACGGAAAAATGGTCAAAATAGTAAAATGGAACAAAAAAAGTTTAAAAAGATAATGTTTCGGACTACTATATTGAAATGTTAATGTTAGGCACGCAAATTCAATTAGGGTCAAATGTAAAGAACCATTTGGACATTTTAGTCTAAAAAAAATAACAAGTATTAGTCAAATAGATAATTCTCCTTGGGGTTTTTCAGTATCATTAATATCTCCTGATAACATAGTTGACGTTATTTTTCACAAGGAGATGTTGTATGGCTTAGTGGAAGGGAATCGAGTTATTGCAGTTGACTACAAGAAGTATTGTGGAGACTGTCACGAAGACGGCGGAATTGCTCCAATCATTGAAATTGTGCTTGCTCATCAACTTCCTACTCGGTCACCAGGTCCTTATTTGGTTGAGGCATCCAATGGAAACCTACTACTTGTTCATCAATTTGCGCACCAACTACAGAAATCCCATTTTTACAAACTGGTGGCCGAGAAGAATACCATAAATGTTGATTCCAATGGAGAAGAAGTATTCAGTTGGGAGGAAATTGAGGAGTCAGAAAACCAGGATGCCATATTTGTTTGTTGTAAGCGTATAAGCAGTACTTGTGTTCCCCACTGTAGTCAGAATTCTAGGTTTTCCATATATTTCCCTGTGAAATATAGGGAGAAATTCTGGGTATGTTTCGCAAATGGTTCGAAAATTGACAAAGCAACCGGAGATTTTGAATGTGGAAGTCCGGCTCTAGAATGGATCAGTAACTTTATGTTGATTCAAGCAGGAAACAATGATATGGAATAGTGACACACAAGGTACGTGGTACAGATTTATGCTCTCAAGAGATTAGGAGTTCGAGTCTGTTTGATTAGGTATTAGGGCTTAGATTTTGGTTTACATTTTTGCAATAAGTGGTGCCTTAGTTCTTAAAGAAAATGTATTGGTTTCTTAAGGATCAGTTTGATTTCACATAAATTTTGATTTATATCATCATCGAGCATGGTTTTTCAGTCTAATAAATTTTGTTTGCAAATATGAATATACATAGGTCAAACCACTGCATATCATTTCTGAAGAAAGATGACATTTCTACGGATTAAAAAAAGAAAAAATTTAAAACTTCAAAAATTCAAACGACTTCAAATACAATCTAAGACTCTGTCTCCATTTATTAAACTAATGGAATATGCTTTTAATTTTTTTAATATAATTATTGTTGTTACATTCACCTATAGATGATACACCATCTTCAACAAATTTTTTTTTTATATAACTAGATGTTAATTCCGCACGTTGTGCGGGATAAATAAATTTAAATTTATTTTTTTACTAAAAATATTTTTAAGAAAAAACGAACATAATGAACAATCTTAAATGCAAAACCATTGTAAGGACTAATTCGAGCTTCCAAGAACCCATCCCTAACTATAGCAAAGGCAAAGGCGAAATTGATCAGAATTTGAATAAAAGAGCGGCATTTGAATAAACAATTATATATAGTTGTTTTCTCTCTGATTATATTTGGGATTAGGGTTAATTTGTGGGAGTTATTGTTTGATTTCCTTAATTAAGTCTAACCATTATTGGTCACCTTGTTTTATAGTGATCCCAAATGCAAATTGGACGGCTCAAAAGTAATCGATCGTGGAAAAATGTCATATAGTAAAACTCTGTATATTCACCCTAAATATAAAAATGTTATCAAAATTATTGGGTTAAAATTGCTTCCTAATTATTCTCTTTTTGAAAAAGCTATATTTTTAGGGAGTCACTTAAACTATTATCATAAAATGATCCTAATTTAGTGTTTAATTTAGCATAAAATTCAAGGGTATTAACACAATTTCCATAACTTATTTTTTTTGAGAACACATAAAATAATTACACATAAGATTTTGTCATAGTTGTCACTCTAAAAATGAAACTTAGTTTCTCTCTCTGGTTTCTCTATTAGTAATATAATATACAGATAGATAGATAGATAGATAGATAGATTATTATTGTTACATTCACCTATTGATGATACACCATATTCAACAAATTATTATGTTATAGTAATATCAAGTGTGTAAAATTAAATTATAAATTTATTATGTGATGTGGTAGTTGATATACTATTTTACACCCATACTATTACTAATTGTACACACGTATTATGTGAACCGCACTGAAGTGAACCAAACCACGGATTTCATTCCTGTTAACCATTTACCTATTTTTTAGAAGCGGTTTATTATCTGAACCGATAATTGTTTTGAACTGAAATGAACTGTTTGAATATAATTTTGTTAGGACGATTGTTACGATTCGGGTTAACCATGTCCATCCCTACTTATCGTTCCAGTAGGAAAATTATAGCAACCATGCATGCTTCACTTTTCAAATGCTAAACTCCCAAATTTGTGGGAAAAAGAATATCATGTGATTGATACTTATTGCTCCAAATATCCATAGGTTCTTGTTTTACGGTTGCTAGGAAGTGCCTCTATAAAATGAAAGGAAAATTTTCATTGGTGTGACTTTTAAGGGGTCCATTAGAAAACCATGAATACAAAATTTAAAAGGGCCACACCCAATCTAGACTCAAGAATGGATGTAGATATTAAAGTTCTAATCAGGCCAAGTATTTGTTGGGAATTCCACAATCAGACATGATTTCAACTAAGCTCCAGACAATCCCTTTCATAAATTCACCCCTCAAATAACTGAAAATTTTACAAACTGATCAAATGTTTAATGAACAGATCTAATGTATAAATTAGTGACGCAATTGAATTATCTAAAAGTAAAAACTGGAACTTCGAGCCATAGTTAAAGTTTTAAAGAAAACTAAAGGCCGTAACAGTTTGTTACCAATAGAAGGGTAACATTGGTAATTCTAAAAAATTTGGTCTCTCTCTCTCTCTCTCTCTCTCTCTCTCTCTCTCTCTCTATAAATCTATTGTACTTACTTAAAGCAACAAACATTCTGGACACGTGTCATCACTACAAAGAAAATTTTTCTTCCAAAACTATTTATAGTACAAAACCGAAGCTACAAAATGTGGACACGTGGCTTCACCAATGAGCAGCAAATTTTAGCTAAACCGAGGTTCGGGCGGAAGCCTACTTTCTAGCACATGAATCAGTTTGAACTAATTAAAGTTTGAAAACAAATCATCACTTAATTTAAGGGAGAATAATCAGTCCAGTTATCTCTGTAAATACCCCTATAATTACTCCCTCAAAGCAACTATCTCACCCCAGCCGATGCCTACTTTTCAGAAAGAAAGATGTTTGTTTGAATTTGAATGACTGAAAGATGAAAAATAAAAATCCCCCAATTCTAGAAAGGTAACTCATTCCATATCATACAATTGTTACATTAACAAAATCAACAATAAGATGATTAATTCGCATTATCACAATTCAAGTTTTAATTTCAAACAGGGAGGATCAGATAAGTTCGGTAATCCTCTCTCTGTCTGCGGGATTCAGCAACAATTTTTTTTTCCTTTTTTATAAATCAACAGCAACCGGATCCAACGACCACCGATATTAGTAGTAGGAGGATAACCATGGAAAAGCAGCTTCCACCGCCGCCGCTGCCGCTGCTGCCATGGTGCGCCAAAGCCATCATCCCTGAAAAAGCTATGATTATGACTCCAGAATAAATGGAGATGTTGCATAAATAAATTGCAGCATATATCACAATTTGTGAACAGTTTGAAGATTTGCACAAATCCCTATGTTCCTCTTCCCACCACTACACACCAATGCGGTCCCAATACAAATAATATGTTGAGAAATCTTGAAATCCCTTACTATGGTTAGTTGATGGGTTATCCGAATCATCAATCATTCCTATGCGGCCAGCCTAAAATCCCTCGGAGACGGCGGTGGAATCCGACGCTAGGGCACCTTCGGATGGTTTTTTTTTTAATATGGTCAAAAGCTAGGGACAACTTCTTTGTTCTGGAAGTACAATCCTACGGCTTTTGTGCTTTCGATTCAAAAGTCGGGGCGAATCAAAGAGAGAGAAACTCATGTTTTGCCGTATTATTTTGAAAGAAAATATGCTTGGTCATTCTTTGCTATTTCTTCAACCCTCGAATCACCCCGAAAGGTTATGTTTCTTATCAAAATCAGAGTATGAGTTTATGTAATTTTGCAATTATAGATTGGGCTTTGATTGTTTCAAGCTGATGTTTTTATAAGTTTTCTTCCACACAAACAAAAGCTTCGTCCAGACGTCCGTAGCCAATTCCAGTATAAACCTGGTGATAAAAATTACTGATATCTGACGTATTCAATGGAGGTGGAAAAATCAATGATTATGGCAAAAGCAAAATCTATAGAAACTATTTTGCAAGGTGTTAATTCAATTATTGGGTTTTGATGTTTTTTTCGCTTTTCTTTGAATGGTATCGTCCTTTCAGATTTTGGGTTTTGATTCTTCCATATTTGTTTGTTCCTATGAGGGAATAAGGAAGGAAAAGATTTTCTGTTGCACGGACTCATTCCTCTTGAATTTGTGCATTAGTTTTTCAATTTGGATCTCATTTTGATCAAAGACAATAAGGTCTGCATACTCGATTTCTTAATAAGGTCTGAATATCAGATCATATGCAAAGTTGGGATTGTGAAATATCGAACTTCAACTCAAAAAAACCAATAGAATTCTCGAAATAGCTGTTCTCCAGTAATTATTTCTAGCCATTTTGTGTTGTTTTGTGCTTATTGCAAAGCTATCTGAGAAATTAATTAAAGGTGGATAACCAGTAGACAAAAGCAGAATCTACAGAATCCATTAGCACTGGGTTTGAATTCAATTAAAAGGTTTGATTTTTTTTTCCTTTGCTTTTAAAAGTATGGTTCTTCCAAAATTTGGGTTATGGTTATTCTATATTTGTTTGTCTTCTTCAACAGATGCATAATCAAATAGAAAAAAGGTATTGATGGAAAAAAATAATGATTAAAGCTCATCCTTGGATAATTATAAAGTAGCAAGAAAACAATAAATGTGCAAAGATATATGAGGAAATAGCAGCATAGATTTAGTTTTCAGAACCTAACGGGTACACTATGATATTTTTTATTTGTCTTTTGGGTTCCAGGGGTGAATTATAATCATCCTAGTGTAATTTCTATTTTGATCCAATATGTAGTTACTCCTTGAAGACATTACCAAAAATCCACAACTAACCAATCCACAACAGTTTATATAACTGTAACATTAAAGGTATATATAATAACAAAATTACTCTTTATTTATTAGTTGTCCTTTTATAACTGTTGTAAACGTAGTACTAGTGAGAGGCTGAGAGCTTTGACTCCTGAAAGGAACCTACCTAGCTCGAATTCGTATTAGTCGGAGTAATAATTTCGGACACGAGTGCGTAATATTAGTACCATTGACCATTCATTGTATGTAACATATGAGACAAAAAAAGCATACTTTTTCAAGACGATACATAGTAAGAAAATAAATTAAATATCAAGCCAGTTTTTCTCTAGTCAAATTTATTATTTTCTAAGTTAGTCAAACTTACTAGTCCCATTATCAATAAGTATTTAGTGAGTTTTGATTTTTATTTGTCAAAAAAATATTATTTCTTAAAGTTACTAGTATCCACTTAATAGTACAGTAGAACGTCGGTAATTAATAATCGATAAATTAATAAATTTTAATAATTAATAATTTTCTCCGGTCCCAACTTGGGACCAGTACAAAAAATAACAAAAATCGATAAAATAATAATGTTTCAGAAAATCCCTTATGTATCTATAGGTCCCAACAATACTATAAATTAATAAATACCTTAAATGCTAAAAAAGAAATACTAATATCTAGGAAAATGTAGTAAAATATAAGTTTATTGATACTTGCTTTTTCTTGAAATTTAAATCCAATGAAATTTCATCTTTGATTTTTCTCATTGCCCTTGAGAGCTCTGGTATTGTATTCTCAAATTGCAATAAGAAATTCTGAAAATTTATTACTGATTTGAATGCTTCACTAAATTATCATCACCTTCATCCTCAATTGAATTATTTTCAAGGACACTAGCTACAATATCCTCAAATGATTTGACCTCTGTAGATTCATCATTTTCACCAACTGATTGACATTCATCTTATTAGGTTTGAGTGTATTATTAAAAAAAGTTACATTCCTTGTTTAGGATTGTAAAGAAACCATGGAAAATTACGTATTATAGTAGGGTTTATAAAGAAAAAAATCTTTAAATTAATAATTTATTAATTTATCGATAAATTAATAAAATATTAATTTATCGATTATTTAATAATTCACTAAATTAATAGAATTTAATGGTCCCAACACTATTAATTTATAGAAGTTGTACTGTATTTCGTTGATATATCTTATATAAGTAGAGAGTATCTCATGATATCTTTTCCTTGGTTTATTATAACATCAGTTTAATTTTTATCGTATATAATCTTTAACCATGTCTTCATCTCCCTGGAATACTATATACAAGTTGTATGTAGATTGGACTAATCTTCCTGTTGAACTTCTCTCTGTAATCTTGAGCAAACTGTTCTATCTTTCCGATTACATCCGATTCGGGGCAGTTTGTAAAACTTGGCGATCGGTAGCTCGGGATCAAAAACCTAAGCGAATCGCAACAATGCATGAACAGCCGCCGATGCTTTTGATCCGCAGGGTTGAACGCTATTCAATCCGTCTATACAGCGTTGGAGAAGGTAGAATTTACAATCACAAACTCCAATTCCCTCTCAAGTATGGACCCGGGAAGAGTTATCGTGGTTCCTCTCATGGTTGGCTAATCACGTACAAAAAGAATACCAAACTCATAAATCTTTTTACCCGAAAAATCATCAAGATTCACTGCTTCGGTACTATGCCGACAAGAGGGTATTTCGGTAAGCTTATTTTGTCTTGTAACCCTACATTATGCACTAGTGATGATGACGATGTTTTCTTGGGAGGGATCTGGATTGGGATGGCGGCTGAGTCGAATAGCTACAATTTAGTCTTCAAGAAATTAGCGAGTGATCAAATAACTAATTCTAGTTGTGACTTTTGCAAAAAGATCAAGGTCTCGTGATGCGATTCTTGACATTATCTTTCACAAGCAAATGTTGTATGCCTTAGTGAGAGATAATCGAGTTATTGTAGTCAGTTGACTACAAGAAGTATTGTGGAAACTATTATGAAGACGACGGATTCGCTCCAATCATTGAGATTTTACCTGCTCATCAACTTCCTACTCGGCCACCAGGTTTGCCTTATTTGGTAGAGGCATCCAATGGAAACCTACTATTTCTTCATCAATTTGCGGAGCAACTAAAGAAATCCCATATTTACAAATTGGTGTCCAAGGAGAATACCATAAATGATGACTCCAATGGAGAAGAAGTATTCAGTTGGGAGGAAATTGAGGAGTCAGAAAACAAGGATTCCATATTTGCCTGTTTAATGCGTGTAAGCAGTACTTGTGTTCCCCACTTTAGCCAGAATTCCAAGTTTTCCATATATTTCCCTGTGAAATATAGTGAGAAATTTTGGGTTTGCTGCGCAAATGGTTCAAAAATTAGCAAAGCAACCGGAGATTTTGTAGAATGTAGAAATCAGTTTCTACAATGGATCACTCCAACTTTATGTTGATTTGAGCAGGAAACCGTGATACGGAATAGTGACACACAATGTGCGTGGTACGGATTTATGCTCTCGAGAGATTAGGAGTTCGAGTCTGTTGATTAGGTATTAGGGCTTAGATTTTGGGTTTACATTTTTGCAATAAGTGGTTCCTGAGTTCTAATGAGAATATGTATTGGTTTCTTACGGATCAGTTTGATTTCATATAAACTTTTATTTATATCATCATAGAGATATGGTTTTTCACTCTCTAATAAATTTTGTTTACAAATATGAATATAGTAAAAGGTTAAACCACTGGGTATTATTTTTCGAGATGACATTTCTACTCGATGAATAAGACAGATGCTCCCTCAAATTCCGAAATATATGTCTTTCTAGCGATTTCATCAGTACCGATAAAATATTAAATAATGTATTTGAAATACACAATTAGCATTATTTATTTGTAAAACTCATCATCAATCAATTCAATTTCATTTTAGATACACTAGATGTTAAACCGTGGGATGCACGTCGATACCAAAAAACAGAATTCCTACTATACAACATTGGAGAAGGTAGATTTTACAATCATAAACTCCAAGTTCCTGGTATTTGTATAAGTACTATTCAAGTGATACTCTTTAATTTGTATGGGTCACTTTGGTTACTCTCATGGCAGGATGGTCAACCATGTGAAGAATCAAAAGAATGTGAGGCTCATGAATCCTTTTACCGGAAAAATCATTAAAATACACTGTTGTGTGATCGAATCCGGCAAGGTTGTTTCTCCAAGCTTATTCTGTCTCGTAATCTTGAGAAAACATGCGCCGCCGATGATGATGATATGTTTTTATGAGGGATTGGAACGGCATCTATTTAGTTGTCAAAAACACGAAGAGGTATTTTGGATATGTTGCGCAAATGGTCCAAGAATTAGCAAAGTTTCCCAATATATTAAAGCTTGGGAAGGTCAGCCTCTGCGATGGATATCACGCCAACTTTATGTTAGGTTCGGGTTGGAATTTAAGCACGAGATCGAATAGTGTGAAACACAGATTATAGGGATTTTAAGCTCTCCAGACTAGGGATTTCATTTCTTTTTTTCTTTTTTTTTGAAGTTATTAAGGCTTTGATTTCGTTTACATTTGTTGTGACTGGTGCCGGGTTATATAATGAGAAAGTGAATGAATTTGATGGATCATTCCAATTTCATGGTATACTTTGGTTTTATTATCAGCTTATTGGTACGGTTTTTTTCAGTTTGTGCTGACAATTTAATTTCTGCTTTGAAAAATCTGAACATTGGTTAAATCATTGCATCATTGTGCTAAAGATGTAATATTGTGACATAGAAAATTGTTAGTTTTGGGACGAACAAAGAATAAAATATTCATATTCAGACTAATTCTCACGGTCTCCCAAAGTTAGCGGGCTAGACTGACCCGTTAGGCTTAACTATTTGATCCGCAATCCTTTTGCAACAGCCCACACTAGTATAGTAATCACACAAGCAAAATATAGCAGTTTCCTTTTTCTATTCAGAAGATGAGGGATTCAAATCGCTTTTCCAAGGCTGCAAAATACAAAAACACCAATGAATGAACCTATGGACCAGTTGGCACTGTGTGGTAGACCACAAAGGATAATCTCTTTACATCTATATTTATTTATTTGATTCGTCCAAATCCTCATCTTTATTTATCCAATTGTTCGTAACAGAGTATCACAAAAGATCCGATGCAAATAGGCCGTTGTTCATTATTTGTGCAATATGGTCATGCTCATGTGACTTTTCTCTATCTATTTCAACTCGTTTCACCTGATGTCCAAAATGGTAATACAGTTCTATTGAGAAGATAGTAAAACATCGGGCAAGTTGATGAGGATGAGTTCATTTTCTTCTTGATATATATGATAGCACTTTGATAATTTTTTGGTGGTGGGCGTTATGAAATTGATAGTTTTTGTGTTGGCTTACAGAAATAAATAACAATAGACAAGTCTCTCACATGTTGAACATCTCTTTCATAACATATATATAATCCGGCCAAAAAAAAAAAACCAGGTTTCACTTTGTCCCTGAGTTAGCAGAATAGTCTATTTGTACATCCATGTTACCCCCCACCCTCCCTTCTTTCTCAACATCATATTGCTACAAAAAAACTATCATTATCAGTTATGCCTGTACATGATTCCAAAAGCCTAACAAAAGTTATGGTTAATTTTTTTTTTTTTTTAGTGATCTGATATCTTAAGGTGCAGCCCATTTGGTGCTTCAACTCTTGGAAACTTCATCAGCTTGTCTCCCCCTACTTCTTCCCAGCTGCACAAGTAGCAATAATCACAATTATAAAAGAGTCCATAAAGTTTTGCCATTTCAGATAATGTAATGTGAGATTAACTTAAACATCAGTTTTTACCTGTATCTGGTCACAAAGTAATGTAGAAAAGTGGAAATTTCTGCGACACCAAGTTCTTTTCCAGGACATTGTCTTGTTCCTCCTCCAAATATCAAAAAGAAGTTTTTGTTCTCCAGGCTTTTATCCTGTACCAAGCAAACACACATTTTGTTAGCCAAAAACTTAAAACACTTCTCTCAGTAATTGGTGACTCAAAACAAGAATTCGAAAAAAGATTACGGACCATCCATCTCCATGGATTAAAGGTCAATGGATCAGGGTACAAGACAGGATCATAATTAATCTCTCTGGTATACACATATATTCTCCACCCTTCTGGAATAGTAAACCCTGAAAAATACAGTAAAAATCAAATAAATGGTAAGTAGCTAATTTGACTAAAAGGGTAGTTTAAGTAAGCTTAAAAGAGTTTCATCATATTCAATCATTGCTAAAAGAGAAATAAAATGGTCCTTAAAAAGCTTTTCACTTTTGTGTTGTGTATGGTCTTTATGAGTGGAATGTTTTGCAAAGATGTTATGTAATGTGCTCTCTGTCTGGTGAGCTAAACTTAGTTGCCCTCTTCTTCTTCTACTTCTACTTCCTCTCTTATCAAAGTTGAATAAAATAATTCAGAAGTTGGACAAAAGATAGGCCATGAATTGGAATGTCTCAGCTGGAATGGTTGGTACACCATGTGGATTATGATAGGGTAGGGACCTTATGATCTTGTACAGTTAGCCAATTAAATTGTACACTATACTTTAGAACAATACTCTACTATATATATATCTTCTGAATAAAAAAGAAAGAAAAAGAATGTAATATAAAAGTGGCTCTTGTAATCCCCTGCATGTTATGCATGATGGTTCAATCATACTCTCTCCTTTCATAAAAGCGTTATATTTTTGTTTAACTAAAACGGTACAATAAAACGCGACTTTCTTTTTTTTAGGGAGAAAGGTGTACTATTATTATATCAGGTTTCCCCTACTTAGGTGTTAAGACAGTTATATATGCATCCAGGCTGGAGAGACTCACCATTGAGTTGCATGTCTTTAGTTGTTTTCCTCAATACCCCATTAACAATAGTGGCTAATCTTGATGTCTCAAAAATCACCTGAAGAAGAATCATGAACAATTATTCATAATTAGTTTAACAGATATACTGAGCAATTATTCATCATCATCTTATTAATTTTAAGGCTGAGTGAAGCAGTTGGGGATTTGGATTTGGACCAACTTACAGCACGTGTAAACCGCATTGATTTGTAGTCTTCAATATCAATTGGATCATCTGGATTCTTTTTCCTTTCCCGAATTGCCATATGCTCTTTCTGCAGACACATAGCAGAAATCAAGGTCAGAACAATCATTTTAGGACAAGAGTAAAAAACATTGATTTGATTGAAAGTTGAAATTTTTTTTAACCCTTACCATCACTTCTTCTAGAGCTTTTGGATGGTCATGAAGGTATTTGACAGCCATCATAGAAGTAGTCGAAACAGTCTCGTACCCAGAATACAAAATTGTAATAATCAAATCAATCATCTCCTCATCTGTCAATTTGTACTTGTTCTCCTCAGTATTCATCAGAAAACCAAGCATATCATCCTTAGTTTCTCCAGATGCTCTTCTCTCATCAATAAGTTTCCTCAGCAAGGTAACAATATTTTTCCTAGCCTGTAAAAAGTACAAATTAGTCATTGAGCAAATATTAAACCTTCTCTTCCAGGATTTACAGAAGGAAAATTCGATGAATTACCTGAAAACCACGATGGTAATTTGTATTGGGAAGATTGATAGGCAATGAAAGAGTTCCTACTACAAGCTTAAAGAATTCTGGCATGAACTCTTTAGCTATGGCAGCTGATTCAGAGCCTGCAATCTGCTTCAGAGAAGATAGAAATGCCATCTGAAGAAAAAAAAAAAAAGAAAGAAAAAAGAACAAGCTGATTAAAACAGAGGAACAAGAACAGATGACTTAAAATCCTGAACCAATTCCTGGATTTGGGGACAAACCTCTTTAGTCTTTTCTTGAATGTCAATCACTGTGTTACCCCAATTGCTGAGGTGGGATCTCATGAATTCATCAATTTTAGGCAAAAGTTGCTCCCTGATCATGGTGGGACTGATGAGAGAAAGCAATGCACCTCTCATGTACTTATGAGCAGAACCATGAACAGCAGCAATGTTGCTTTTCCCTAAAATGTCCAACATAGACTGAGGATAACCAGGGACAAGCCCTTTAGCTTCATTCACCAATATGTATCTGTTCACTTCTGGATCCATTGATACAATGGTAGGACAGCCCAGAATGTGGGATTTGAAGAAATTGCCATATCTGTTTATGGTAAAACCAAAAGGCAAAGAAAAAGAATATATTGGTACTTTTACTGTTGCAAAAATCCAGAATCAGCAGAAAACCAAACATTTCAGAGCAGTAAAATCCCTAGTCAATAATGCTTTACATGCACATGTTAATCTTAGGAATTCCATCTTCAAAAATAACTAGTTGCCTTCTCTGGATTTGAAAAGTTCTTTACTTTGGAATAAAAAGATCAGGAAAAAGCTGCAGAACAGCAACAAGGACAACCAAGAAAAAAATTATGATGATTACCTTGATCTCTGATTCTTCATGAATCCAGGGCCTTGCTTCAGAAACTCTGTAGTTTCACCAAAAACAGGCCAACCCATTGTACCAGGAGGCAAACCTTTCTTCCTATACCTCACTTCATTCCATTTCAACAGAGCAATACTGAGAATGCAGAGCCCAAAAGCCATGCCAAGAATGACCATCATGACAGCCATTGATTTTGATGCCCTCTTTTCTCTTTTCAGAAGAAGTTTCAGCAACTCAATTCAAAGAGAGCTTTAAAAAATTTTGTGTGTTTTGGGAGAGGTGGGGGTCAGCTTTTGTTGTAAAGCTAGATGTAAGCGTGTGCATTGGTGTTGTATATATAGGCCTCAGAGAAAGTGGTAACACAATTGAGCAGAGAGGAAGAGGGAAATTTTTTTTTGGGGGGGAGGGGGTGGTGGTCGTGGGGGTCTTCTCTGGGGAAAGATGCCTAATACAACCAAAAAGCATGCACCCCCGAGATGGTAAATCTTGGAAATGTATGTTGTTAATATTGTTGGAGAAAAAAAACTTCAGCATTATACTACTACCGGTACAGAAAATAAGTGAAATATTTCGACCGTATTTGTTCGACAAAGTAAAAATTATTCTTCTACTAATATTTGACCTTATCATTTAGATGAAATTACATTTGTTCGGAATCTAGAGGGCTTTCATTATATTTCATGTGGTTATTGAGTATCCGAGGGGGACCAATAGAGGCAATCGCATTCTCCCTTCAAATTTGCATAAGGAAAGTATAGAAAAACAAAAAAATTTTAAGTTTAACTATAAATTTGATAATTTTTTTTTCGCCCCTGCTAAATTTATTTTACAAAGCATTGCCCTTGTTTTATTCAATTCCTTGCTCCACTACTGAGGTTTTTTTTTTCTCAAAAAAATCCATTTTAGTGGGCCCCCACTAAAATGTAGTTAAAATCTCCCTTGCAAATCTTAGTGAGAATCGAACCCTAATCTATTACAAGGAAAGATAACAACTTAACTACTAGGTTGTCATTCAATTCCCCCACTGAGATTATGTTAGAAGTGTTATCTGGTTAGATATTACATACACCAGAGTTTTTCACTTGTGAAATTTCTTATTTTTTTGTTATTTCTATTGTTAAAAAAATTAAAGAAAAAGGAAAAGAAAAGAAACAACAACAACAAATGAACCTCTACATGGACCAAGTACAAACTGAAGGGGCCTATTACTATTAATATTCAACGTCAATTAAATCTTTTTAAGACGAGAAATTTATAGTATGTACTTGGCTGTGATTCTAACTTTTCACTAGATATGGGAACCTTTTTAAACATTTACACATGCACGTAAATTGTTTTTGTCTGGGTTAAAAGGAATAAACGGATAAGAAGTACCACAATGAATTTTTGACCATCTTTCGTCACTTATATTTACTTTTTTTTTTCCCTTTTCTTTCTACGGAGCCATGAAAGAGATGGTCACTTTTCTTTACCAAATACAGTACGTGAATGTTGGTTGTTTTTTTTGGTGTTTTTAATTTTAATTAATAGATAATACACATTCTTACATTCTCAATATTGCTTATATATTTTTTAATTTTCAAAAAAAAACATTAAAAAACCATTCCGACGTATTTTTGTCTTGAAAACATTACCAACTGCAAATAAGCAGACACCATGCATGCAGTGTTTCTAATCTACTGTGTTTAAGAAATTCTTTTTGGAGTAGTTTACCAGTGTCATTTTTTGTTTATAAATATCTTATCTGTCTTATTTTAATAATTTTTTCTTTAGTTAAACTAGCCCAACCAACTGATCCATATTAATTCGAAAGAGAAAAATTTTAAGTACGAAATTCCACTTTTAGTAGTCTAAATAATACTCCCTCCGTCCCATAATTATTGTCCACTTTGCTCAAAAAATTTTGTCCCAAAATTATTGTCCAATTTGACTTTTTATAGATCAAGTTACACATTTGTCCTTAGTAAAAAATATTATCTATAAAATCTTAGTGGTTAAACAATTATTTATGTAGGGGTATATCCGGTTGTTTAAGATAAAATATAATTAAATTTGATCAAAAATAAAATCTTTAATTTTAGTAAAACTGGACAATAATTATAGGACGGAGGGAGTATCATTTCACAAATAAGATCGTTTAAACTCATAATCAATAAGATCTTATTGGTTCGATGATGCAGAATAAAAATTCCAATGTTGCATTCGAAAATGACAAATAGTGAATCCAATTTATTTGCATTGTTAAAATTTTCACCCCTACTAAGTTATGGAAACATAAGTGAAAGATCGGAGCACATGCAAACCACCAATTTGCGTTGATGGAATTGGAGGAAGTACAAAACACAAAGAAGAATTTAAACCAAATACTACATCACTCCAATTTCTTCTAAGTGGTTCACATGTAGTGTAAATTTAACAAGGCAAAAATATTTGATACAGATCTCTCTCAGCTGCCATGCATTTTTACAAAAGTTCACTACAAGACACATGCCCCTTTGGATACCATGTGACAAAGAACTGAAGAGGCAAAAAAAAAAAGAAAAAAAAAAGAAATTAATATGGGGTTTTTGGGTTCTTTTATTGTTATTCAGAATTCACTCCTCCAAACTGCAAAATTTTTTCAAACTCTTAGGCTGCAGCCAACCTACACAAAATGATAGCTTTCTTCAAATCTGTGAACTGTGCTGTGGCGTTTCTTTTTAAACCACCCTCGTGAACCTTTGACTTTTTGGACTCATGTTCCTCTTTGCCCCTTTGGTTCCATATTTTTACAATTCCATTGCCCTTTCCAGTTCGGTGGTTGTCTTATATGAATCATATGTCATTAACGTAATTCAGTTATATGATTATTTATTGTTTAATGTTTAAAAAACCTTTTATTCTTCATTATTTATTGCTAACATAATTTGAATAGGTACTTAAACCAATGCAGTTTACAAGTAAAACACGAGAAGTAAGGAAAAATGAAAATTATATATCACCTATTCTAGCTAGTAGTAGTTTTTTTATTTGTGTTTTTTTTTTTTCCTTTTAACCTAAAAAAAAATGGTATGGTAGCTTTTAGCTTACTTGTGTAGCTCAAATTGAGGGAGACCTCAATCAAACCTGGGTTGACTGACCCATAGTTGAACCTCACGTGCATCTGAGGAATTATTTTCAGCTTTCTATCCAATTCCGAGGATGATTAGATTGGACTTTTGTGGTCATAAATATGCTTTCCACTTAATTAATCACTTGAGATTGACTGGAGATGACCAATCCCCGTTTCCCTCTGCCGCCCTCTGTTTTCTGTTCACATACTAATGACGTTCTTCTCTCCCTGTAAATCCTCCTGTCCCAAAGATTAATTAATAATTTCTCTGCCTCAAAGATTGATTCTCTCCATCAGAATAAAACAGTTCAATAAAATAAACGGGATTACAGAATTCCATTTCCTCCCGCAGCTAATTCATTTTCTTTGTTACTACAACAGAGAAGATATCTATTTAAATAAACACATTCCCATACTTAAAGTATGATACCTTTATTACGTAATGTTCCAACCACAGCTTGACTCCCTTAATGACGTACTTTCATATCATTGTAGCCCTTCAAGACTATGAGTAGCCAATAATATCAAGTATTCAGCCACAAAATTAACTTATCCGTAAATATGTTTGATCTCTACAGTTCAATCGATATTTGATAATTTCTTTGATATTTAGTCCTTGAATTTGGAATGCCAAAAATCAAGTTTTAAAGTTGAAACCATGTGGTGTAGTGACCATAGTCTATATATGTACTTTGCCATAAACTCGTATCCATTTAATAGCAATAACGTTCCAAAATAATTGCCTTATTTTGCTGAGTTATGAATTTTATAAGCAATGAATCAGGATGAAAAGGAGGAACATACGAGGCTATATTAATCACATTGACCAAACTTTAGAAACAGAAGACGTGTAGCCAAAGCTCGCGGCTAATTTTGCCTGATGATTCATCATAATGGGGTCAATGCACACGTTCGAACAACGATTTCTGCCCGAGTTTGGCCGTGAAATGATAAAATTAATTTCAAATTCGGTGACGCATATATCATTCTAGTTTATGTGATGTTCTAGAGAAACAACTAAATATGGAATGTTTCCAACCAATAGATATTCAATTCATCAAACATATCTCTTTATTATATAATTGTACCACTTCAAAAAAAAAAAAAAAAAAAAACATATGGTTTTTGTAGTTGAGTACCGTACACAAGTTGTACAATGCCTTTGCTTTGGGTCCTGTCCTAATCAGTTGGTAAAGGATCATGATTCATGATTTATAATTAGGAGACGTGGTTTTGTCTTTGCAAAAGAAATAAAATTGGCCTCCTAGTGTGTGTGTGTGTGTGTGTATTATTATCTCTTCACCTCTTCATTTTGTTTGTTGACTTTATGGGGTGAGAAACCGATGGGTTTGTCTTGATTTGGCACTAAAAGGTCGATTGGATGGCGACTTGAACAAAAGCGTGGATCCATGGAGAGATCCGTTGAAAAGGATTTGACATGATCTTATTTTACATATATGCCGTGCTGCATTTTCCCTTTTCCATTTGAATGCATAGTGCAACTTGCATAATTACCCTTCTCTTTTCCACCTAAGATAATTTTAGGGACCGATTATCATAAATTACGCATGTTCCTAGCATTTGAACTTGTATTTATCGATCCACAATTGAGGGGCTTTCCATATGAAAACTAACTGTATATTAATAATAACTATATAGTTTCGTAATTTCTTGATCGAGTAAGATAGTACCATGCGCGTGTAACAGATAACTGAATTCACGATTCATTGTTGCATATTCATTCTATGTGCTAATTAAGAGACGATCATCAAAGATCGATGATAAAATCATACATAGAAGAAGTTTGTCATTTTGCAATTTGATTGGTGATCGAAAGATTACACTCACATTTTTTTTTTTTTTGTGGAAAGGCCAAAGTAAGGGGGCGTTGTTTGGTGTTTGGTCAATTGCGATTGACCCGTGAAATTAATAGGCTTCCTCCAAGTTTTGATAAGATGGTGTCATTATCATCTCCAGCGTTATACTGTAGTGTATACATCATTATATATATCTATTTGGTATTAACAAACTTCTTATAAATTCTGTATGTAATCCTTCTCAACAAACAGATGTCTAATCTTGTGCAAGGACAAATGGAATAATGGGCACCTTTTCAATCCACACGTTCTTCCTATTGCTTCCCTTTTGCTTTCCAGCTTCATAATTTCCTTCCCCAACTACCAATCCCCCATACTACTTCATCATTATATTGCCGACATATGATGCCACCTTCAACCGCTT